GGACTAGAACTCCCTGTCTCCTGGTGATTGGCCCAAAGTCACCCAATCGGCTCTCATGCCTAAGGCAGGACTACAACTCCCAGTCTCCTGATGATTGGCCCAAAGTCACCCAATCAGTTTCATGCCTAAGGCAGGACTACAACTCCCAGTCTCCTGGTGATTGGCCCAAAGTCACCCAATCAGTTTCATGCCTAAGGCAGGACTACAACTCCCAGTCTCCTGGTGATTGGGCCAAACTCACCCAGCTGGCTTCCCTGTCTAGGGCAACTTGATGCTTTTAACTGACACCAAACTGGCTCTGACACAACATCTAACAAAGTCACCTTGAAAATCAAGTTTCCCGAAACAGAGGCGCGTCAAAGGCCTTTTCCAAAATGCAGCAACCTCCTCCCCCCCCCCCCCGGTTTTCTTCCCCCAGCCCCCCCTCCCCCCCCCCCCCCCCCGGGGCTGGGGGGCAGCTGAAATGCAACCAAACCCAAGGCAAAATCCAGACCTCTCGTTGCTCTGCCGGACAACTTCTCGTTTTTTTTTACCTGTGTCTCGGACAGCGTCCAAAGCCTTCATCCGATACACGTAGTTGTAAGGGACTGAAATGGGAAACAGGGGAGAAGCTTAGTTGGGGCCAGGTCTCCCCCAGGCGTCTGCCCTCGTCCCACCCACCCGCCGATTCTGGAGTCCAGTACATGGGTTCCTAGGCGACTCGAGTTGTAGCATTCGAGGGTCGCTGTACAGCAGCAGCCGGGGCTCATATCGGATGTCCTGAACCCGGGATAGCCGGATGTCGATCTCTTCCTTGAGTCCCTGAATGGAGAGAGGGATTGAAAGGAGAGAAGGATTAGCTCCACACGCCGGACATCTCCTAATCAAACTCTTGCTACTTTGTGCCTATAAACAAACAATTCCCTCCACACTGTCCGACTATTTACAAAGTCTGCACTACTATTACTATTAATCTTCTCATCACTCCTTATCACCCATCTCCTTCCACTTGTGACTGTATGACTGTAACTTTGTCGCTTGCATCCTTACGATGTATATGGACTGTTTCCTAGTATTTGATTGCTTATTGTACCCTAAGACTATCATTAAATGTTGTACCTGATGATTCTTGACATTTGATGAATGTATCTTTTCTTTTATGGACACTGAGAGCATTTGCACCAAGGGAAATTCCTTGTGTGTCCAATCACACTTGGCCAATAAAGAATCCTACCCTATTCCATTAATTTCTGTTCTATTCTATTCTATTCTAATTCTATTCTACACTATTATATTCTGTCCTATTCTGTCCTGTCCTATCCTATCCCCATTCTATTCTACTCTATTCTAGATAGATTACTCCTGACTGGAGGAGCGATTTCTCATGGATTTGGCTCTCTTTTTGCAAACCGCGAACATTATCGGCCTCTGTTACGGAGCAGTCAAGATTTGCAAAAATTATGATGATGAAGAGGCTCCTGAGGTTGCAGGCCGATGAGATTATAACATGCACCGACTCTAGAACCGCTGATAAAGGAGAAGATTTGGTGCTCAGGGATGAAACGAAGGGTGCTTGGAGCCCCCTGAGCTCAGTGGGTTTCTGGCAGACGTTTCATGACCCAACTGGGTAACATCATCAGGATTAGAAGGGAGTGAGGTTTGTGGAGAGGAGGAGGACTGGTGTCCTGGGCGGTCTCTGCAGATGGTTCCTGACCCGACTAGGTAACATCGCCAGGGCTAGAAAGGAAGGTTTTTTTGTTTTTTTTTGCTATAACTAAATAGAGAGCAAACTGCCCTCCCTTCCAGTACTGATGATGTTACCTAGCTGGGTCATGAAATGTCTGCAAGAAAACCACCAAGCACAGACAGCACCAAGGACCCACAATCCTCCTCCTTCATTTTTTTAAGGCCGAAATCAGAGGGGTCTAGGTGAATTCAAGAAGTCCCCCCAGGAAAAGAGGGTAAAAGACCTCGGCTTTTTCACCAACCTTGGGGGCGTGTTGGCCCACCGGCACGTGGGGGCCCCGGCGAGACTTCATGGCGAAGCGCATGATCTGTCTCTTGACGAAGATGAAGAGCAGGACGAAGACCTGGAGAGGAGGCAAAGGAAGGGTCAGTGAGTGGTCAGGGAGGAGGCTGGAGAAGTGGAGGGGACCCACCCCAGCTATGAGGGACAGCTTAGCCTACCTCGCAGAGGTGTAGTGGGGGAGGGGGGATGACCCTGGAAGGTTTGAATCCCAAAGTTTGAACCCCGTCAAAATCCAGCAAACAATAGCAATGAAACAATAAACAACAATGCAATCTGCAAACTGAAATTCAGCACTTGTGGAAAAGGAAGAAACCAAATTGGTTGTACCAATAGTAATAGGAGCTCTCGGAGTTAATACCCAAAGGGTTGCTTAGATACCTGGACATTTTCAACTTATTAGACCTGAATATCCTGACTTTGCAAACAAACAAACAAAAAACCCACCTTAATTGGAACTGCCTATATATACTCAGATGTTACTTTAACAATTCTTAGGTCCTTGGTTAAGACTTGAACTGTTAAGTTATTCCTTGTCCCAGACTGTGAATGGACTTGAAGACTAAATATATAATATAATAATAACATAATAATTTAAAAACTTGGTTGATACCTAGGATGCTGGCAGCAACCCATATCAACCATCAGGGCCAGTCAATAGTATTTGTGATACATTTTTAAATCTGCAGTTGACTGTTTCATGTTTAAATAATAAAATAAATTATAAAATAAAATAACGATAATAATGATAATAACAATAACAATAATACTAATAATACTAATAATAATAATAATAGTGGTAGTAATAATAGTAATATTAACAAGGGCTCCAAAAAGCCAAATTGAATCTAAATAACCCGCTGATTGTTTGACAAACTATAAAAGTAATGTAACAATATTAATGTACATCATTGACACATGCAATTAACCCAATGTAGTCCTACTATAGTAGTAATAAAGAGTAATAACAAAGACTACAAAGAGCAATGAATACTAATAATGCTAATAATAATAGGAAGGACTCCAATTGCCAAATCCAGTCTAAACATCCCAGCATTGCATATACAGACAACAGTAGCAATATTAGCATATATCAACATATATGATTAATCAAGTATTGTATTTGTAATTAATTCATCCGCAATAAACAGCAATAAGAAAGATTAAGAAGAGTAAATGAATAGTGATCATCATAGGAAGGGCTGCAAAAGGCCAGGCCCAGTCTAAACATCTGGATAGCCAACAAATCATAAAAGCAGCATTCTTTTTTCCGTTTATTTTTTTTTATTGTTATTACCTTTTTAAGGCCTCCCATCTCCCCCTGCAAGGCGATTCTTACAAAGTATATTATAATTTATATTTTACATATTAATATTATGTGCAGTAGTATTCGTAATAGCAAATCAAAGGGAGGCTCTCGCGTCTCTCCGCTTTCCAAAGGTGCGGACTCCAACTCCCATCACCCAAACCAATCCCTCCCTCCCCATGGACTGAAGCCTGAAGACTACAAAGCCCATCGTCCAAGGCAACTCTCCCTTTCCCCGCCTAGTTTCTTCCCCGCCCCTCGCTCTGCTGGGTTTCCAGCCCTGAAGCAGCAGTGGCTGCGGGCGATGGGCTCTGTAGTCCCAGCACTCCTCCCGTCATAAGGGAAAAAGGCGAAAGGCGTCCGAGGGTCGCGGATTGGCCTCACCAGGCTCCCGTAGGCCATCACCAGCACCACGTTCACCCCGGAAAGCCAGTTGCTGGACGGGGCCGGTGAAGCGGTAGAGGGAGAAGAGGAGGAAGGGGAGGAGGAAGAGGAGGAGGAGGAAGAAGAGGAGGACGAGACGGCGGAAGCAGAGGAAGCGGAGCCCGCCATGGCCGGGCGAGGCTCCTGGCCCGGCCGCCCTCAGGGCCGCACAACATGGCCGCCGCCGGAGCCGCCCGCGCGCCGGTCACGTGGCTATGACCACGCCTCCAGGCCCAAGCAGACGGGCAAAATGTTAAGGAGAGGAAGTGGGGGGGGGGTGTCAGCTGACCGGAAGCAGTGGAGGAAAACCACGAAGAGAAAGGCGGCTCGCCATATTGGAAAGCCCAAGAGAAAGGCGTTCTCCACGCCCGACACGTCCGGTTCTCAAGGGAAGGGGGGGGGTTAGAATTGCGGCGTTAGCCAACGCTCCAAATTAAATTTAAAAAGTAAGCCCCAAAAGTTCCAAAATTAACCCGGGCGTAGACGAGCGAGCAAATCATCAAAGCCTCGGTTAGAGATTTCCCTCCGTTTGCCCATGCTTGTTTTTGCGTGGCCCAACCCCGCATGGTGGGAGGCCCTGTCGCACAGGAGCCGGAACTATCTATAATCTCTTTCACAAAGGCTTAACATTAAAGGAGAAAGGTTGAGTAGGATGCCGGAGACCAGAGATTTTTTTTAAAAAGAAAATAAAAGAAAAAGAGGAAGCCAAACAGAGTCACGTGCTCAGAGGCGGGGCTAAAGGGGAGAACCGAGGAAAACAAACACAGGGAGGGAGGGGGAGCACATCTCCTCCTCCTCCTCCTCCCCCGCACGCAGGCGCACTGGCGCTGTCCCGCGGGCGAAGGGGGCGTGCCGCGGCCACCTGACGCCGGGCGTCCCCCATCCCACCCCGCGCGGCCCCGCCCCCCACTCATCACGTGGCCGAAGGGGCGGCGCCTCGCCCGCGCTGGCTTCAGTTGTCAGTGTGCGTGTGTGGCGGCGGCGGCAGCGGCTGAGGTAAAAAAAGAGAGGAAAAAATGGCGCGCGGCCCCTTTAAGAGCCGGCCCCGCCTCCTCCTCCTCCCTCCCCCCCCCGCGCGATAATCCCCGCTTTACTTTTATGAGGCGATTCCCGGGAACCGGCGGCGGCGACGGCGCGGCGGAGGCGGGTATCTGGCGCGGCGGCGGCTCGGCCGGGGGCCTCCGGAGGGTTTTTTCCCTGCCGGCCTGAAGGGGAGGAAGGGGGCGTGAGGAGGCGGGCGAGTTCCGGTCGAGAGCGCCTCCGTCGAGGCCTAGTCGGCCGGGGTGAAGCCGGGGACTCGCGTAGCACGCCAAGCCGGGCCGGGCGCACCCAAAGTCGGCCTCGACCTCCGGAAAGACCCCGGAAGGGGGGTGGGAAAGGTGTTTTTTTTTCTCCCCTTCGACCGTATCGGATTCCATCGTCTCTCTTTGAGCCTTCCGATGACCCAGCCCGAGGCCCGGGAAACTCCCCGCAGGCCCCTCCCTCCCTCCCTCTCCCTCCCCCCTCCCGCCGCGATGAGCGGCGGCCCTTCCTGCCCGGGCGAGGCCGCTTCCCCCTCGAGGAAGCGCCGCTTCATTGTTTCCTCCCGGGCCCGCCGGCCTCGCCTCGGCCCTCGGGGGCCAAAGGAACCGCGGGGCGGGAAGCAGGGGGGAGGGTCCTTCTCCCCCCCCCCCGTGGAGGGGCGACCCCCGGACCCCCCCCCCCCGATCCCCGGGGGGGGGGCCCTGGCCCCCCCCCCCCCAGCCGGGCCCAGGGCTCAATCGGGCCTGGACGGAGCTTTCCTCCCCCCCGGCCTGGCGGAGTTTCCTGGCCCCCCTCAAACGGGGCGCCCCCCCCCTCTCTTTTGGGGGAGGGGGCATGGCCACCAGGGGGGGGGGGGAGCTTGAATAAATTTGGGTTCTTGCCTTGTCAAACCACCTTTCCTGGCTTGGACAGGAGGCGTGTTTTTTTTTAAACCCCCCCCCCTTTCCTGGAAAAGTGGCAGGGATCTCCTAGGATCCACTGGGATCTCTTCTGCCTCCTCCCTCTGGCATGGGGGGCGGGGAGAGATCCTCGGCATAAGGTCAGCGTCTCTGGCAGGGATCTCCCCAAATCTTAACCCCAGTGATCCCTTCCTCCTCTTCCACGCGGGGGGGGGGGGGGGGAATCCTTTGGGTAAAATTTCAGGTCTCTTGTTTGCCCCCTCAAAAAGTGGCAGAAACCTCCCCCAGATCCGATCTCAAGTGATCTCCTCTTCCACGCAGGGGGATCCTTTGTATAAGGATCCGCTATTTTGGCCCCTCCAAAAGTAGCAGAAACCTCTCCCAAATCTGATCCCCTTCCCTCTTCCATGTGGGGGGGGGGGTCCTTTGCATACGATTGCACTTCTTCTTTTTTTTTCCCCCCCGCAAAAAGTGGCAGAAAACTCCCCAAATTCTAATCTGGAGTGATCCCTTCTTCTCCCTCCTTCCCTACCTGGGATCTGTTGCACAAAACAGGAGTCTCAATTTGCCTCAAAAAGTGGCAAAAAAAAACCTCCTAAAACCGAAAACGGTCCTTTCTCTCTCCCTCTCTTCCACCCAGGGGGATCTTTTGCATAAGATGGGTGGTCTCAATTTACTTCCTTTAAAAAGTCAGATTTCCTAAAATCTGCTCTCTTCTGTGATCCCTCTTCTGTGCCAGGGGGGGGTCTTTTGCATAAGATCAGGGTCTCGATTTCCCTCTCAATTCCTCCCCCCCCTTCTATCATATCC